GTGTTGTAACACCAGAAATTGACACAACATTGTAAACTGAGTATATTTCAATTTTTAAAAAAAATTTTTTAAAAAGTTTGAAAACACTAAAAAAAAAAAAGAAAAAGAAAATACAACCACAGTATCTCTAACAACAACAAAATAAAAGTAAAAGAGGTGTACAAAAACAAGCACGCCCAAGCCGAAGAGTGAAGAGATAGTTACACGTACGCCAGCAGAAGGCGCCAAGCGCGTCAAGCAGCTGGTAGGAGCGGCAGCAACACTCACATCCAGTGAAGCAGAACGTCCGAGGGGGATAAGAGCACAGGTACCGACAGAGGGTGAAATCGTGATGATGGCGCGGAGGTCGCGGGCCTGTTCTGTGCTGAACGTGGCTGTGCCAGGGGCTGTGTCCCAGAGCAACAGTCCACCTGGAGTGTGGTGTGCGTTTCTGGGCATCGCACGTAAGAATGAGCAGAAACCCCTCCAGGGACTCAAGGTCACCCCAGATGTTTAGCCGGGGGGCAAAGGCTCCGGGTGGCCGTCCTCAAATATGTGAAGGGTTTTCGTGTAGAAATGAATGGACTTGGGCAGCGGGGCCTGGGATGCAGATATACTACAGACACCAGAAATGATGGGACCACAGCACTCACTCATCCTGAGAAACAACTTCCTGAGGGTCAGGGCCTCCCCTAGGAGGGAAGGTCAGGGCCCCGGGGACAGTGAGCAGGTGGTGCTGTGGTGCCAAGGAGGGGCAGAAGCATCTGACCCCGATCGAGTGCTAGCCTCGTGCCACGTGTGTGTTCACTGACGTCACCCTTGCAGTGACACCCTGAGCTCCGTGCCACTTCCATCCCCATTCCACAGAGGAGGGAACCGAGGTGCACTAAGGCTGAGGTACCTTGTCCATATCTGACATGTGGTTTCCATCCTCAGCATCTTGTGGTAGCTGCTGTGGCTCCAGCCATTTCATTTGCAAGAAGCAAGAAGGAAGAACAACTAGAATATAATGAATTTTCACATCCTCCACTTCCACCAGCTCCCCACTGCCCAAGGACTCTCTTGACCATCTCTAAGGTCGTGAGTTGGGAAATGTTCCAAGCGGGCATATGTCCCAGGAGTCTGTTGCTAAGAAAGAAAAGGAGACAGAATGTGCCACCAGCAGCCCCTGCTGTCATGTTAACTTGCCCAGGAAAACGGAGCAGCCAAGGGGCTCCCCAAAGCAGTGCTGGCACTGCTAAGGCAGTCCTGAATCATCTGATGGAATGGTTGAAAAGCCATCCGCTTCTCTCCAGTCCCAAATCGGTGCCAGGTTGGTTGGTAGCAGAGGACTCTCTAGTTTGAACAGCCAGCGCTGATGGCGCTTCTCCGTTAAAGCCATGTCCTCCTGTTAAACTTCATACCCTTCCTTTCGTTGATGACATAATATTTTTCCCCCATAGATCCTTTTTTTATTGAGTTCTGCTAAACTCTTTGTGGACAAATTAATTGGCTGTGGGATTTAAAATCCTAGCTCCAATTTTGCCTATTTTGTGAAAATGACATTATGTGAATATGAAAACTATATTAGCCCATTAATTTTCCTTTATTTTCTCTAATTCTTTATAGTTTAGAAATGTACAAAACCAACCCCACACACTGAAGATCACAGGAGAATTAGATGGGTTATGAGAATGCAGTGTCAGGACTGTAGAAAGCTCATTTTTGTTTCTGACCTAATTCCGTTTCCTTATTTTCCTTCTCTTCCTTATTTCTTTTTAATTGACATACAGTCAGTTATAATGTGTCAGTTTCTGGCATCCAGCATCATGTCCCAGCCATGCATATACACACATATATTCGTTTTCATATTCTTTTTCATTAAAGGTTATAACAAGGTATTGAATATAGTTCCCTGTGTTGTACAGAAGAAATTTGTTTTTCATCTACTTTTATATATAGTGGTTAACATTTGCAAATCTCGAACTCCCAAATTTATCCCTTCCCAGCCCCTTTCCCCCAGTAACCATAAGATTGCTTACTGTCTACAGCTCTGTCTCTGTTTTGTAGATGAGTTCATTAGTGTCCTCTTTTTTCTTTTTTCTTTTTTTTTTTAGATTCCATATATAAGCGATACCATATGGTATTTTTCTTTCTCTTTCTGGCTTACTTCACTTAG